GTGAGTTTGATATGATTTATTTTTTTCGAGTCTCAAATATGAAAAAAAACATTTAATAGAAAAAACTTATTCCAAATGAATTCAATGCGAATTAAAATTATTCGTTTCAAAGTGGACTTCTAGTGGGAAACCAAAGAGTAAAGGTAGTATGAATTTATTTTCTATTTTTGTTTTCCTATGGATAATTGACCAAACATTGACTCCTTACCCTGAAAGTTTCTTCGTTTTTGCCCTTTATAATTCCCACTGTCATGTTTATTTCCCTTTGCTTTCCCCAAAACCAATCAAATAAGACATGCATGATTTGTAAAAAAAAAAAAAAAATGGTTTAACAAGGAAAGCAAGAGCTTAGACACAACACTTGGTTAGTGACAATGGGTTTGATCAGCTTTCTTCTGATTTCAGCTAAAATTTTGCTCTGTTGGTAAGTATTATCCATTCCTCTCCCACCCAGTCTTCCTCTTTCTTGATCAAAAAAAAAATCTTGTTTTAATTTGTTGATCAAAAAAGATAATCTTGTTGTTGTTTTCTAAGATTTTCATACTAAAGACATGATGGGGGTAAATAATCATAGGATGATTTTGGATTTTGTTAATAGTTGTAGCACATTGTGCTCTTGTGGGTTGTCAATTTTTTGTCCTATTTTCTGGTATTTGTTAAGCCCCTTTCTATATATACACATGTAGAAAGAGAGAGAAAAAAATTAGCCTTCTAAGTTTTGTCTTTGATCAACTGCTCTTGACTTCCATATATCTGATTCTCTCTCTTTTTAATTTTTGTTTTTTTGCTACAGTTCTTTCTGGATATTTTGCAGACCATCAGTGACATTGCTGTGTCCTCTGTAAGTTAGTAAAAAGAGAAATTAATTTTTTTTTCTCTTGTTTGTTTGAGTTTTTGTTGGATATGTGCATTGGGATATTTAGGCTTTTGAGTTATGTTACATTCTTGATAAAAACAGATATGCATCAATTCGGGCGATAGAGAGTGACAAAGAATCCAGCTACCAAAAGTGTCTTCAATATTGGGTCCTATTTGGATTAACCACAGTATTGGAATTGACTCTTGCAAAGCCTTTGACAGGGTAATTTTTTATTTTGCTTTCATCCAAAGACATGTCTTTAGAATTCTTATATGTAAGTTGATACCTTATGATATTGGTGGTTAAACATCTTAATGCTTGGTATTATGAATGCAAGTCAGGTTATGGATTACTATAAGAGATGGAATTGCATTGTTTGTTAATCTTGGGAGCTTTGATGCTTTATGTATTGTTATTTTTGGTCTCCTATGGTCTTATTCTTCGATTTTAGTGTTAGCTGTTTTTTTTTTTGCTTTAGTTATTGTACGTTGTGTTGTTGCTACTTGTTCTTTTCTTAGTTGTTTTCAGTATTGGCTTATTCACTACTGTATTTGTTTTAATTGTTTTTTGGATATGTTTTTCTTGAGCTGAGGGTTTATCGGAAACAACCTCTTTACCTTCATAAGGTAGGGGTAAGGTTGTTGTGTACACACACCAAACTCCAGTTGTGGGATTACTTTGAGTATGTTGTTGTTGTAGCTATGGTGCTTTATACTAAGAATTCTACTTCATTATAGCAAGCGTTGTGTAACGCTTATGTTGGGCATATATTTGTTTTCATAAATTGCTGGTCATTGATGAATACTGTATGGCATAAGAACTACCCAAAAAGAAGCCAAGGCTTATTTTAGGACTACACCGTTTCATTCATTCCTTGGATGAGTGAGAGAAATATTCAGCATCTGCAATTTACGGTGATGCCATCTTTTTTTGAATGAGAAAATGTATGGATTTATATGTTAGGAAATACAAATTCAGAATCTTTATTGCAAGTTGTAGTTGAGTTTTTGGTTGTTCTTATCGTGCTCGGTTCATGAGTCTCACCAAGGGTGTCTCAAACCTGAAGGACATTTTTCAACAATAATTAAGTCTGACCTAAGTGTGTTGATTTCTTCAGGTTCTCATTTTGGCATTATGCAAAAGGATTAGCATCCCTCTTGCTCGTACTGCCTCAGTTTGGTGTTGCTTCTTATGTGTATATGAACTTTGTTAAGCCATGTCTTTCCCCAAATCCACTCATAGAATATGTCACAGAAAAGAACGAGTGCATGCCCATGGAGCGAAGTTGCGCAGACTCTTCACTTTCAATGCCGCACCCGCGTCGGATTCTCCAAAAATACACTACTTTTGGAGAATCCGACACACAGCTGTTGACATGTTTTAAGAGTCCGAGCAACATAGTCATGGAGTGCAGTGATTATGTTGATGCAGCACCCCGACATGTTAAACAGGATAAAAAGGACAACCTGCAAAGTTTCGTTATTTATGAGGTAATCATAGTTTTCCCCTACAAACACCTCTCCTATGATCTCAAGACAGTGACATGTTCATGAACATTTTGTTTATAATTCCGTTTCAGGCTGAATCTTCTCCTAAATGTGATCGGACAATTTATCCTAAGAAAGTTCAAAAGAACTGGAGCTGCCCGCTCTGTCTGGTGAGCGTCTCCAACGAGAAATGTCTAAAGCAACACATCAAAGGTAGGAAGCACAAACTGAAGGAAGACGAAGAAAGGGAACATGAAATGATCATGACAAGTAAAGAAGCTAAACTTGCTTCAAAGTTGGAGGGAAATTATTTAAAAGATTTACTTGAGAGTTTGAACCAGATAAAATCTCTTAAGTTTGTGGAATTAAGAGGCTTTAATTTGCCTATTAGAAGACCATTACGGTGCTGCACTTGGAAAAAGCCCAAGCCTGGATGGACAAAGCTAAATACAGATGGATCTATAGACCGGAAAAGAGCTGGTCTTGGTGGTTTGCTTCGTGATGATGAAGGTGTTGCTATATGTGCTTGTGTCTCTGAAGTTACATGTGGCGATATCTTCTTGGTTGAGTTACTGGCTATATGGAGAGGTCTCATGCTTGCTGTCAGTATCGGGATCAAAGTGATATGGGTAGAGTCTGACTCGATGAGTGCAGTGAAAGCTATTAACAAAGAGCAACCACATAATCAGAAAGCTGCTAGCTGTCTCCAACACATTTGGAAAATCTTGAACAAGTTTCAGAAGTATCAAGTCACTCACTCGTGGCGTGAAACAAACCGAGCTGCTGATTATTTATCAAAGATGGAAATATCAGGAAGTGACATTGTTATGTGGCCTAGAGATTTCCATAGTCCCCTTTGCAAAATTATTGCTGAAGATGCTCAAGGAAGCTTGTACATTAGACGATAATCCATAAGTCTATCAAATGTGGCTCGGTAAAATTATTATATACATCAGCTTTTTGTTGCTAACAGGAGACTACCACCTGGAAAGTTGCAGGCTTGCTGTACATTATAAGGTAAGTAATTTTTGTTTCCAAAATGTTGGTGCCAACTAGTACGCACCTTGACTAATCCACTGGGTCAGTACCAGTTAGTAGGTAATGTCCCAGTTGCAAATCTGTTCAGTAATGCATCTTGTCTTCTGATTTGCTTCTTGTAATTAAGTGTTGCCTTATTATATTATGGAAGTACAATGTTTACGAATTGAAAGTATCAAGTATTGATTAAAACTTCCAACTCCTAACTAAATATAACACAATCTGTCATATGAGTTCAGTCTATCTTATTCGTTCTTATCTATAGATAACGGAAGAGAGAACCTCCAACAAGGGAAGGTACGAATATGGAAACTTCTCTGCCATTTGGAACGGAAAAACACAATCAAGCTGGAAATATCTCATACTTGTTATAAAAATCTCATGATTAACTCTGCCTTTGTTATATACTCCTCTCTTTCATAGTTTTATTATGTTGCGAAACTAAAATCTAGTTTTAATATATGGACCAAGTAAAATGAAATGGAGAAAGTGTCTTGGAACAAATAAAAAGTCAAAACTCAAAGTAGCAGAATATCTTGTATGAATTGCACCCGGTAGCCAGTTTGCACTATGCTATATTCAGCTTTCTTAAAATTCTTTAACTTGTAGCCAGATATTACATAAAACGTGAAAATCAAAGCACTGTATAATCTTTTTTTGTGATGAGGATCTACAGCAAGATGTATATAATGCACGTCATGAACTTGAACCTTGTCACACGATTTGTATTATAAAATATAAAGTTGTGAAAAAGTGTGTTCCATGTTTAAAGTGCTCTGTTAGAACTTATGCTATTCAAACTTCATATTTAAGGTCTGAAGGTAAGCATTGATAGTTCAAATTTCATACACGAGGTTTGAAACTTCAAAGCTTAAACTCTGAAGTTTGATAATTTGTTAAATGTTTTTTTTTTTTAAAAAAACTGGCTATATTTTAAACAATACCCTTAAAATCAGTTTTTTGTGCCAAAAAAGTACACTCTTCTTGGGCCAGTGTAGGAAACACAGCCCAACGAGAATGAGGATGATTTTCTTCGAGATAATATAGTTTTGAAAATTCTTTTCGTGGTTGAACAATTATACTCGTCTAGAGAAAGCTCCGGAGATTCTATTGAAAATTTATAACATCATATTTGTATGTTATAGCTATAGTTTGCATAATTTCGCTCCATTGCAAATTTTATGTTTGCTATGAAGCTTTTGATTTGTATAATTTGCTAGATACATCCAATTTTATATAAATTGTTCAGTTTTGTATAAATTCATTTATACATTGTAATTTGTATAATAAGATCTGTATTTGTATAATTATAAGTGTATAAGACGAAAATATATGTATTTGTATTTGTATATACACTTTTCTCTCGCTTTATACAAACACAAACACATTTTATACATCTGTATACCGAATGGGTAATTGTATACCGAACCAGATGGCAAAAAAATGAGATGTTTGCTGCGAATAACAAATAAAATAAACTATGACTATAACATTTAATTTGAATTAATAGTTTGTTATTTCATACAATTTTATATTACGTTGCCAACCATAAACAAGAATTATCAGAAATACTAAACAAGTAGTAAATAGAATTAAATGGATGTACCAACTACGAACCCTAAATGACAACGTAGTGATTAACTTAAAAAGAAAGAGCCAAAACTCTATCCAACAAAACTAGTCGTCATCATAATATTATTAAGCTGGTCTTCAAGGTCTAAGAAATCAAGCCAGTGTGGTAGAACTTCTGCGACACTCACAAACCATATTCATGTAAAACTGACATTTGCTTAGGTCGCCTCCGTTGACATTGAGACACTGCAACAACGAAACACACCTTATTATCAATAGTTTTACCTTGGTTGGCTATCTGAATTCTCATCTTGTTAGTGAGGGTTCGATTCTCTGCTTTGTACCCTAATTTTATGAAAATATTAACTAAATACACTTTCTTATTTTACCATTATTTCAAAAACTCTCTATCATTTATACAAAAAAATCAAAAATCTATACATCTCTGATACATTCCTTCTCTCTCTAATACATCCATTTACTATGTATCCAGATTCGGATGTGCTATCCCTCTGTATCTGAAAGTCCAGTGATGTATGTATCCGAAATCCATAAATTTTAAGGAATTCTTGTAATTTGGAAAATAATAGAGAAATAATGTAATTAGTTTTTAACATGGAATTTAGGTAAATTATACTAATTTTACAGCATTAACAAGCAAATGCAACAGAGAAGCTATAGGAAATTAGCATATATACCTCTTGGAAAGCTGTCATTGAGGCAGCACATGAAGCAGCTGAGGGGGCAGGATCAGCCACCTGAACCTCATGTTTAAAAACCCGAGGGCCTAACACGGCATCTGTTACCCTATGGCCAACTGCATTTCCACTACCAAAGGCAATTCCTGTTTTTTACCACACCAAAATATGAGCATTGAGCATATACAAATTAACGCTATCAGAATCTCATGACCATGATTGATTTTGTTTTGTCGTAAACCTAATTGGGTAAATCAATAGTTCAAACTGCACTCAAAGGTAGGGCATTTTCGATTTTTATAGGAACTTTTGTACCAGAAACAATGCTCAATGCTATCAGAATCTGACTGTAGTATATTTGAAGCAATTACTAACCATCGGTAAATGAGGAACCAAGACCTCCTGCTGCGGGTTGAGGTTGACTCTGTACAGGTGCTGGAGGAGGAGCAGGAGCAGCTGCAATATATGGGAACCAAAATTCCAAGTCATACAATAACAACGACATACACAGTGTAATTCTAAGTTATCAAAATATATAGTAATTTGAGGCACTGCCAAAATTTTAGAAGGAATTAATGAAATGATCATGACTTGCCAGGCTTCGGCTTTGGCGGATTCTTCAGTGGCTTGTCAGCAGCAAGACGAGGAGATGAGCGGGATTTTGACCATGGAAACCAACTTCCTGCAAAAGAAACTGTGTCATCTTTTCGTATCACAGCTTTTTGACACAACTTACATGCATGTTCATACAACTTTTTGGTGATAAAAGATACGAGAATATCAATTAATCTTTTGCGAAAAAAATTGTCTCACCAAAACCATGTTTCGTGTACCCAAGAACAATTTTGAAGTCATACTAAAAAATTGAATCTCTAAATTTCAATTGTGCCACATAAATCGAATCGAATGGAGTATCTTTTAGTACTCCAATTAAAGAAGGCTGAAAGAAGCAAGTTAAAGGAAAAATAACACACATTTTTTTCACCTCAAAAGGAAAAATTAAGTGACGCCATTTTACATGGCATCCATGCACATAACGACTCGACCAACCATACAAACAGTTTGCAGTATTCAATCTACCTTTGCAAACCATGAGACTGAATATCAAATGTAATTCACTCAAAAAAAAAAGATATACATGTATATTCTACCAAAAAAATCAATGATTACAGACCTCCGCCGCTACTACTACTTGATCTGAACCCACCACCACCACTTCGACGACCCATGATATTCAAAAGAAGAAATTTGAAAGCAAAAACTGGCTGTGAAAATGGCAGACTCAAGCTGAAGGGCTTGGGTTTATATAAGGGAGTGGGGTTGGAGTAGCTTGAGGAACAAGATGGATTTCTATTGGCCAACACGTGGTGGAATTTTTCTTCTGCCACATTCATATTTTATTTTATTTTTGGATTATTTGTTCTTTTATCTCTATTTTGTAATTATCTTTAAAATTAATAATCTTTTCGCATAGCTTAATTTTATAATTTTATGCGAGTTATGGCTTGCATTATTTCGTTAGATATATGTTTGATTAATAAAAATTAAATATCGAGAAGCAAATCATGCAATTAAATGTCATATATATTTTCTAATATATCCAAGATACTCCTGCAATCCAAATAGATACCTACAAAAGTCTAAACTGATCTAAATAAAAAAAAAAGATGATATTTAGTCCGTTTCATTTTATGTGACACTATTTGATTTGGATTTAAAATGAGAAGGAAGACTATTGAAACTTATGGTCTAAAACAATCCTTAGAAATTTGTATAATTATAAAACATTTCATTAAAAGTAAAAAAAGAAATTTTGAAATTAAATTATTTTTAATTATAGTAAGGTAACTGTATAAACTAGTTTATGTGGTCAAGTTTTTCTTTTTGACTATATTAGTTCAATTCTTTTCATTCGATTTCTGATCATTTAAGAAAGAAAAATAGGGCCAAAATTAGGAGTATAGACTGATTTTATTTGTTGTCTTTTCATACCAACTGAATGGATATAGAGATTCATATGGTAATTCTCAACTACTGAGATTTGAGTGTATTTTATTCTTGTACATAACTACATATCATTAAATTATGAAGAGGACTTGCTAAGCTTGAGAATGTCCACTATGTTTCTCACTTGAACTTACATTTAAAGGTGTGTTTGGTATGAATGAATGTTTTTCAATTTTTTCATATCCAGTTTGATCAAAATATTTTAAAGGGGATTTTCTTTTAGAAAACAAATTTCTTTAATGAAAGTAGGAAAAACAGGTTTCATAGACAACAAGTAACATTTCAATTTCATTATCTCCTTACCACGCACCCACCACCCTTGAGCCTCCACCTCCGACCTCATCTCACCTTCATAGTATTTTGCTAGATATCATATAAATGCTTTTAGAAAAATTTTAAAAAAAATATGCTTACATACCGAACACAAAAAAATAAGTACAAAACACTTATTTTTCAAGAAAATATCATTATACATGGAAGACATTTTCCTTAGCACCAAACACACCCTCTAGAGTTTCTTTGGCTTTAGGCACAACAACATTAACTTTTTCCTTTTCAACTTGCCTATTGTGCACTCACGAAACAGTATTCATTTGTTTGAACATTGGAACAGAAACGAGAAAACATATTAATCCCACAGTTGAAAAACTACAACTCTGTCTACACAATTCAACACAAATTTGGTCATCATAACTAGGCATAAAAACATTTTCACCTTCTGCATGCATTCAACTCAAGATATACAGATATAATATATGCTAAATCAACACCCATTGTCACAAATCTGACTCTGAACTCACAAGAAGGTGACCTAAACATCAAGTTCTCGAGCCTTACACGATTTAGCCTTCTCACCATGTTCCTATACTTCCATCCACTCTCTCAAGTCTCATCAAACACAGCAATTTTACCGACTCCAACCTCTCAGGGTGTCGAAGTTAATCAATTTTGCAATAAACATCTTCTTATCTTAGAACAAAATAAGCGAATTCAATACATCAAACTGGAGACAGACCATCACTTTACAGAACACAATTTGCAATTGTCATGCTCGCATGTCTGAAGTAGACATTGCAAACTGTTATATTACAGCGATATTCAAGCCTAGACTCGATAAGCCAACTGTATTAAAACACAAGAGCTAAAATTTCTAATAAATTCTGACGGCAACTAACCAGAAGTGCACTACAACAATAGCAAGACTTGGTAGCCACTATAACAATAGCAAAGGCTGGAAAATGTCCTCGGCTATATTGAATCATCAGAATCCTCAGACTCAGTTCTATCAGGATCCTCACCAGCTGTCCCGGGCTCGGAAATGTCAGGCTTTGTTGCAGGTTGTGTCACTTTCTTGTTCACATGGCGTGCACTTGCTTCACCTCCTTCCTCTTGCTCAACAACTTCTATGTGTAATCGATTAGTTAAGGAGTAACAGAAATGAGAAAGATGAAATTTAGCAAGTCCTCTACAATGATATTGAAGTTCTAATATATACTTTCAGAACGCGAACTTGTTCTTATTTACAAGGGGCCTATGCTAACAGAATCTCAGGAAATTTTCTGAAAGCTCAAAGCATTAAAGTTTCCCAGACATTACCACGTACCTCTTCCTGGTAATTGGTCAAACAGAAATTTACACAAGTTTTTTCACCAGCAAAAGTTGTCCAACTAATTGTGGTCTACAAGCTAAAAAATGTCAATTTGCCAACAGCATATCTAGGATTCGTTAAAACTCGCAGTTCTAATTTGTCAGAATATAGCCTATATAAACATTTAAAATAAGTCTATTTAGCTACTTCCATTCTCGTATATTGACCACATGTCATTCTATTTAAACTAGAGGAGAAAGCAAATATGAAAGGATATCAATATTCTCAGCTGTTCCACCAGACATTATGTTCTGCAAGTCTTTCTCAACACGCCGAACAAGCTCAGGCTGCCAAAAGTATAACAGGCACATTGTAAGTACAAGGATACATACCAGAAAAAAAAAGGTGATATATAAAACTAGAAAAGGGCGGATCAAGGGATAAGGAGAGCTCCACTATATTTACGAACAGATTTTATTCCAATTCATTTATCGGCAGAGAAGCAGATAAACTGAGAAGCTTCAGGTAGAATAAGCCCCTATTTGCTTTCACACACATACCCCAAACCCTCCAAAAAAACAAAAAAAAAAAAAGACATACCCCCATTCCACATAGTAGACAGCCCACCCCTGACATTCTCTCTATCGGGACAAACTAGAAAGTAAATAAATGAGAGTTTTTCTCAGGAAAGTAAGATTGTTACATTAGATCTGGCTCTCTCCGAAATCTTCGTCTTCGTGCATCTCTCATTGGAGGTGTGAGGCCATGTCTATATTCCACCACATCTGGAACAGGATCACCTTCTTCTCTCACCATAATCATCTGTCAGATCAACAAAGTTTACATTCTAGGAACAATGACGATTGAAAAATCATGTTCATATAACTGAAGGGAAAAAGAAAGATTAATCCCAACCCTACTTGACCAATGTCTGCGGATTTAATGAGCACGTTGTCATCATAAGTTTTGTATGACTCCACTATGCAAGGAAGATTCAAAAGTGATGCAGGAAAGTGCTCGTCGCCTATGACAAAACTGCCCGTCTTTCCATCCTCTGAAAAGAACAAGACATTTTTAAAACGCACATACATGAACTATGATAAGATGCTTAAGAGATAAGTACTACAACAACAACATAGACATATAATTCCACAAGCGGGGAGGGCTTGGAAGGGTAGAGTGTACGCAGACCTTACCCCTACCTTGGGAGGTAGAGAGGTTGTTTTCGATAGACTACGCAGACCTTACCTCTCAAGGAAAAGCATATCAAAGCAGATCAAAAAAGAAATAATCAGAAGTTAATAATTCATGGAAAAATACAATAAAAAGCATGGCAAAGCATTCCGAAAAAAATAGTAACTACAACAAAATAGTGCATAATCAAAGTACAAGAAACAGTAGATAGTAACAGATGACTATATATCTTCATCTACAAAGTTCAAGAACATGATGCAATGGTTGGCATTTGAGTCACATTTGAGTCGCAAGTCAGAAATCACGGTTAATCTCGTAGGATAGTCGGGTATTAAATAAATTATAAAAAAGATCCAGGTACTTTACCCCAACTAGCACCAAGTAATTTGTGGACATTGACAAGTCTCTAGAGCTAATTCTTAGTTGTTGGTACATGAAACCTTATACTAATTGTCTCATGCAACTTGTGAATAAGAACTATTCCAGTAGGATTAAGATTGTAGCAGTGCTTCTTAATCCTTGGCTTTTATTTTTATTAAAGTTTCTTCATAGTCTACCTATAAATGAAAAAAATTAAAAGGCTCCAGCTCTAAATCAAGAACCTGATATGAGATCATCTATCTTTAGATTGACGGAGTGATTGGTCTCACAATACCCCAAACTAAAAACAGAAGATCAGAACCTACCCTACTGTACATACAGTGAGATTCATGCTGCGAAGGAGGAGTAATCAATGAATAACTGTCTTCCAAACTCTTTCACCATTTCAAAAGGATTTGTGTATTCCTCTCCGAAAGGAAGAAAGCAAGAGAACAATACAGCATAGAATACCCATGTCTTACTCCAACTCATTAAGACATACCACAAATATACTTACACAATCAGCATGCTATAGATTAAAACAAAAGAAACCAGACAGTACGAGATATATATGTATATATATCCACACATGCACATCAATTGTGCTTAATATCAATAACTCAGACCACAATATTTTCACTTATTAGCATATGAAAAAAAGACCTAGGTATGGTGGGGCACAATGGGGAAAAAATTCATGCCTTAGAAATCAGATGAGGCCATGTAACATGTGGACACCAAAGGCTATTAACTTACAAATTCAATCTAAACGACAGTAGAATAAACTATGCTCTATTGACAACTCCACACCCCCAATATTTTGGAACTTCTTATGGGTATTCCAGATAACCTCAGAGAATAAAAGTTGTTTGGAAAACCATTCAGTTTATAATTAGTCATTTACATCTCAATCCCAAATCAATTAGAGTCGGATGAATCTTCTATGTATTTTCCTCTCTATTCAAGTAGATTTCATTCCAGTACTAAATACTTAACCTTTTTAAGACGAATCACAGATTCTCTAAAACCCAAAGGTTCTCTAAATCAGAAGCAGTATAGGGAATCGGAAGAGCTAGGGGGGGAGTAAAAAGGTTCAGCCCGTGGCCTAGTGATCAATAAAGTGGGTTGTGAACCATGAGGTCTTAGGTTCAACAGGCAAAAACACTAACGATTTCTTCCCATCTATCTAAATTTTGGTGGAAAGATTTACTTAGTACTTGCGCGGTGGGAGGTAGCAAGTTTAGTTGAAGTGTACACATGTTGGTTCGAACATCACAGTTATCACAAAAATAATAATAAAAGGTTCAAGGAATGATAATATGAACACATGGGAAGCGAAATATGGAAGAACTATGGTTTCCTTTTTTGATAGGTGATGCAAGAGTATTATAGATGTGAAACAACATAAAATGAATGTTGGTGTGAAGTAGGACTAATTTAAATCTAAAAGAGTAAATGCCAACATGGCAAAAAACACACTTGTAATATCAAGTTTTTGCGAGTTTTCTACCTGAACTGTCCGGTATTCACTTTTCCTACCTAAACCATCACCAACTGATTACCAAAACACACCTCAACTATTAATTTTTTCCATTTCCTACCTTAACAATGGTCATATTTCAAGTAATAAAAGGGAACAATGAACACCTGATAGTTCAGGTATAAAACTCACAAAAACATGACAGTTCAATGTATTCTTGACCATCAACTTAATTATAAGCTCCTGCATAACAATACTTAAAACTCCAAAAAAAAAAGTTACCAGAAAAAGACAAGTACAGTTTGTCTTCTGAAGAAGGATTTTCACTTAAAAGGCGGTTAATTCGCTCAGCAACAGAAGGTGGAACCCTCAGAATAAATTGCTCATCCATGGCTACACAAATTAAGAAGAAAAACTGAATCTTTTGACCAAACAAATTAACTTCAGAAACACCCTAAAACTTAATTTTCTACTTTCAATCAAGTAACCCTTTTGACATCACTATCTTCTCCACAAGTATCATTCAAGAATCATACAATTTTCAAACGAGTAATTTCTACTCTACTTTGAATAAAATAGATCAAACAAATTCTTTCAAAAAAGGGCTTTAATAATTAAAAAAATTTATTCTTCTCTCTTTAACAAAGTAAATTGATAGAATTCTCACCACAAAATAATGCCAATTGTTGAAGCAGAGATGATGATCAAAAAAGAAAAGCTGGGTTTCGAGAAAAGTGAGAGAATGAAGAGAGATTTTAATGGAAGAGTCTTGAATTTATGCAAATTGAGATACTAATTATAATTATTTTTTATGATTTTGGTGGTAAAGTAAAAAAAAGTTTAAAATAATATTATAATTAAATATTAGCAAATTTGATTTAAATAATAATAATAATATTCATAGTTTTTTGCCTTGTGTCTCAGCTCTTTAAAAACTAGTTACTTTATATGTAGGCTCAAATTCAAAAAATTTAGCTAAAAGTAAAAGGAGTATTTATTATTGAAAGTCGAGCGTATGGATTGTTCGGATTCATATGAAATTTTGATTTGAATATTTGGTTTTCAAATTGAAAAAAGCTACCATTAAAATAATCTTGAATTGGATAGGATTCAATTTTGGATTAATTGGTGTGGTTACTGTGGTATTTTGAAATTTTGATTTTTGAGCCTTTAAGATCAATCATAAAAATTAATGGTCTGAGTTAATCTAATACTCCTTCTATTCCATATTAACACTTTATTTTGATAGTTGTTACATATTGCTTCATAATGTATCATATTATATTGTATTGTATTGTGAGGCAATGCACACCTATTAAGAAAAATATTTAAGGACATAATTTAAACCACATTTTTCACTATTATTTTTTTTGTGAATCATAAATATAATTTTGTAAATAGTGCAATTTATCTCGTAGAAAATATAAAACTTCATTAAAGGGAAGGACAAATATATAAAAAAAAATTAACATTTGTCTTGAACTTTAAACAATTCAATTATTTTGAGCAATAGAAAATTCTCAAAAATTCACTTAATACAGAATAAAGAGAATAGTTTATTTTTTTATGAGATATAACTTTCTACAATTATTCAGTTAACAAGGATTGAGATCAGTATACCGCTCATATCATATAGTTTTATATTATTAAACTTATACTATAACAAGTACAACTATAGGATACTAATTTATTGGATTTTTAAAAAAATAAGACATGGAATTTTGTATCTTCAGAAATCCTAATATCCATGGTATTAGATTCAATGTTCAATCAAAATCCATAAAATTTAAAAGTTAAATTTCAAAATTCAATTCCTAATTTAATTTAAAAAATTTAAATTTCGAATTGGCCCAACTCATCTCTACACACTGCTTATCACTCCGCTAATTAGATTTTCTATTATAAATGGATGAAAATCATTTTTTCTTCTCGGTCATTGAAACATATACTCCTTAAGAACAAAAATATTTTCTAGAAAGAATTTTAAAATAAATAAATATATCTTACCAAACCTGCCATCCAAACTAAGCTCCCCTTTGGCCATAAATTTTATTGTTGAAACTTGATACTTGAAAGTTTGAGTTTATGATTGTGATTTTAGATTTTAAAGTTCTGTGAGTGAAAGTCCTAAGAACCTAAAAAATGGTCTGAGATAGTTCTTAAGATCTTGAAATTATTTAAAGGTTAGATTTTTAAAATCTGATCAAATTTTGTGGTCAAACAAATTTTTGAAGTCAAATCTTTAAAATTTTATTCAAATTTTTTGGTCAAAACGCTAGCTAACAAATAAGCACTTGAACATAAAATTCAAATATTTTTAATTTTAGTGAAATTTTTGAAGTTGAAATTGTGTTTAATTATAATTTATGTAAGGAATATTTGGATTAAATATATAATCTACTAATGTCATAAATTGAATCCATATACGAGCTAGTGCATATTACTACATTTTATAATTTTTAAATATTATTGCAAAGATCGATTTTCTTGACTATTGTTGCACGTAATGATGTTCAACACTCGACAAGTGAATTTACAATATTTATTCGCATATGAATTTTATATAATAAATGAAATACGCAAGGAAAAAAAGTTGTCGTTGAGAGATTTTATCATAGAAAAAATTTGTAGCTATTAGTTGTTGGATATTTACATCGATTGATGGAATCACTATTAATTTCTTTTTCTAATTTTATTGCAGATGGACGATCTTTTTTTCGTGTCATAAAATAACTTACAAAGAATAAGAAGAATTTTAAAACAAAATAAAATGTAGCTAATCAGCTTATACTAGAGATGTAATTAATTGTATTGATCTTAATACTTACACCATCGATAAACTTTAAAGAATCTAAAGGAGTTTGAGTTATATATCTGCAGAATGTTTTTTGTCAAGATTTTTTTTTTCCGACCTACTCAAGTCTAACCCATTTAAACTCTTCAAAGGCTTTAACCACGAAACACGTAGATTCCAAAAACACATTGTTTCTCCTTTAGAAATGACTTCTCTATCGAAGAAAACATTAGATACTTACTTAAATTAGTAGGTTTTTGAGCTAATCTACGTTAGCTCTAAGTTCATTATACAAGGGTTCATAAAATACGGAATTACTATCTCTCTTAAAATGACATTTTCTTTTGACCCATTTCTCTCCTTTTTTCCCCTCTCTCTCTTCTTATCATTGATATAATAAAAAAAAAAACTATGATAACAAATATGCTTTAAAAATTCTCTACTTCAAATAAAATATAAAAAGTTCATGACTAAAAAATAAAATTTAAAATAAAGTAAATAATTGATATAACCAAACGTATCCTTAAAATATTGTGTTGTAGCTTGAAAAAGATAATCAAAGGCGGACGTTATTATTTGTAATAAACATAAATCTCAAATTTTATATTGAAATACAATAAAAAAATAAACAATAATTCCAAGCGACATACATAGAATACATTATGAGAGCTAGAATTTTAGTGCAAACATGAGTATTAGCCACTTCATCCATTATTTGAATCGCTATTTATTTTAATCGAACATAATATATAATAATATTTGTACTAATCACTTTCCAATTTAACTTAATGAAACTTTTTTCATGTGTTCTCACTTAATTATTATGTAGAAGAATTAATTACATAATATATATCTCCTCCTTTAATTGAGTATATGACTAATCTCAATAAATCATAAATCTAAATTATTAAATATATTCTAATTTAAGATAGCGTGTATAATTAAAGAAGATCATATATATTTTTGATTAACTTATTTATATAAGGGATCTTTAAGTAATAAGTTTTTTTTTTCAAAATTTAAACTGAAAATGTTTAATAGAAATACTTTATTATGTTTGGATATTCAATTATGAAGTTTCTATGTAAATTTTTGAGGTTGTCCATATATTATTTTTTTCTTCTAAATATTCATTTGCAATCTAAACAAAGTTTCACCTTTTATTTTTATTTTTAATGAGACCCAATATCTAATTTGAAGGTTTGAATTTTCACTTTATATTAGTAGTTCGTATCTGTGAGCTTTCCTCATTCACCTAACCATAAAGATCAATTTCATGGAGTCTCACTCTCTATCTTCTCAAACCATTCGCGCCAAATTACCTACACAATCTCTTCCTCGTGCCTTCAATGGACCAAACCCTAAATCTCTCTTCTCATTGCCTTCTTCTCCAAGTCGCATTTCTCCGATGATGCCTCTTCTCACATCTTCACGGCATCTGGAAATCCACCGCCGGAGTACCTCGTTTACTCTGCAGACTTCGAATTCGAGCTCAAAATTCCGCGCACGTGCTGTCGGAAGTGATTCTGGCCGCCAATTGGATGTGACTAGAGAGCTAATCGTTCTGAACTCTGCTTTGACTTTGGTGCTTGGTGTTGGGAATCGGGTGCTTTACAAACTTGCGCTTGTTCCGATGAAGGAGTACCCCTTTTTTCTAGCTCAGGTTACTACTTTTGGGTGAGTTTTGACTTTTGGTGTTTCTCTTTCAATTATTGTATGATCCTCGATCACAGTTGTTTACCTGTTTGATCTGAATTTTTTGTACTTTGAAGCTGAAAGTTGTTTTAGGGAGCTGATTTAATACTTTCTCCATTTCAGAAAGAGTGACGCTACTATTTGAAGAGTGTGATTGTTTTTGTTTTCCTTCGACTATGATTTTTTCACTCTTATAAATATTTTTAACGATAAAAAATAATGATGTATAGTCGTACTTTTTGATCTTCTGAATTTGTAATGATTAAACCTCATGACTCTCGTACTTTGTACCTGATTTTTTTAGAATATATTGAACACGCGCATAGAGATAGTTAGTCAGACTTCAATGTGAGTGGTGAGTATTGTGAATAAAATGCAGAAAATTTTGTTGTCCGACTCTCCTGTCTGCCTGTTTCGAGCATAGACTTCCATATAATAACTTGTTTTTAGCTGTTTCAGAGATGTATACTAGTTGCCTAGTTACTTTAGGTTGAATGAATTGCAATTACATGGTAGATAAATCATAAAAGTCCTTTGAATGTGGAAAGCTCATAATAACTGCAGCATAGTTGTCCCTGGTAGCTAGTAAAAAATATAACACATAAATTTGCAATCACTATAATATGTTTTCCCTTAATGACCTTGCAGAGATCTCCATGATCATCTCCCCTGGCCTCAACTATGAAAATAACATGTATAGGGTGTCCCTTAAGAACAGTGAAAAATACTCCGTTTGTTAGTATTTTTTTTAAAAAAAAAACTGGTAACTTTCATTGTTCTGTTTGTTACTTTGCATAGGAAGATAATTGAGTGGATGTGGAGTTAAGAGGTTAATTTGATTTGTATATATCATATTAGTGATAGCAGAAGATAACCATTAAAGAAATTATTGATGAATAGGTTTATAAAGTAAGCATCACATCACATCAAAATTGAAAATTTGATTGGATTAGTGAATTTTTGAATTCCTGAAAACTGTGACAGTTGCATAGGAGTGGAAACATGACAAACATTTGGGAACTTTTCAAATTGAGAAGAGTTATCATATAAATTGGAAAGAAGGGAGTAACACTAACATCCTTAGTCCTGAAGTTTCATTTTGAAAAATGTGTTTATAACCAAAGGAGGATGAGGTGACATCCAATAAGTTTATTGTCTTCTATACGTAATATCCAGTTCCAACCTTAGCTTGTGAGTAGTGACACAATTTTCTCGACCCATTCAATTTAGCAATTGATCACCTTTCGTATTTACGAAGCACAAAATTATAACTAGATATCGTTCCTAGTAAATTTCTTTTGCATTGAAGATGCTGGTAGTGGAATGTTGAATAACTACTGCAAAGGGGAGTCACATAAAGTATGCAGATTGAAGAATAGTTTTCATCCCTCTTGATCATTGATTGCTTGAAACCAACTCCCTCTATGCCATCATGTCTTAAATCCTAGCATGTCAACCATAAATCATCTACTTTGGAATGTAAATTATCAACTTGTTTTGACCTACCTTAGATGCGTAGGAAAGTAAGTGACAAGTGAATTTTTTAGTCTTAGGGGTCAGCATTTGCCTACACTCAAGTCAATGACTAGCTGAGATGACAATATAAATTAAAAACTCAAATATTCTGGTCAAAGAAGGTTGTGGAAAAACATGTCCATAACTTTGATTTTTAGTAGGAAATGCCATTATCTAATTTAAGGTTTTTGATCCTAGTTAATCTGTATTAGTTTTACTACGTGGATGCTGATACTTAATGTGGCTCAATTAACTTCAGGTACTTGGCTATTTATTTATCCATTTTGTATGCAAGATATCGTGCTGGTATTGTAACGAAGGAGATGGTGGCCTATCCAAAATCACGCTTTTTGCTCATTGGTTTCCTCGAAGCCCTTGGGGTAATATGTGGAATGTATGCTGGAGGTATTACCTTGTACTTAGGGAAGTTCTACGATAATAAATTCTCCCTCTCTAGATTAATATTTCTGCCTTCATTGGGAAAAGACAATAGATCCTTTATGTTCTACTTCTTACTCTACATCTCGTCTTTCAACAAATATTAGTCTTTTCTCAGCTATTTTCTGCTTTATCTAAACTGGAAAACAATAGTAAGGTCCACAAAGAAATGAATATGGATGATTCTTTGAGTTGTAAATTGATTTCTGATTGCTTTATTTTGGTATTTTACAGCCATGCTTCCTGGACCAGCCATACCAATACTTAGTCAGGTAACACTACTAACATTAAGATTCCCCTTTATTGCCAAAAAAAGAGCATGAATTAGTTCTCAAGTTATCTTTGCCTGGTGGTAGATCTCCAAGAGCATAGAAATGGGATGCCCTTTTCTGATGGAGCAACACATTCAATGCATCCTTTCTTTTCCTTTAGTATACACAAAGTGCTATAGGAATTCAATACTCCATGGCAGTAGTTTTTGATGAATTAAATGCATGCTTGGTGATTCAAAGCATGCAGTTTCTTTTAGTTGCATTATTTTGTCGCCTTACTGGCAACTATTTTATTTCTGATAATTGAATCATGAATTGGGAGTAGACTCTATAAATTGCTAAAAAATCATGTCCTAAGCAACTTCAAACTAGCAGAGTTATAATTGTATCTTAGAGATTGCTTAATAAAGTTCTCGCTCATCTATAAAAGAAGCAAAACAAGATTTCTTAGCAAAGACCTTTTTATTGCAGACCTTCTTGGTGTGGCAGTTGACTCTCTCTGTGTTCATTCTTGGACGAACATACTCCTTGAATCAAATTGCCGGATGCTTATTGGTTGCTGCTGGAGTGGTACTAGCTGTAACAAGGTCACACACTCTTCTCCTTTTAGGTCCTAAAAAATGTTTTTCTTCTTAGGTTGCAAGTCAAATTAGGATTTTGTTGAAGTCCTAAGATCAATAATGAAATTGTCCACTCTCACAAATTAATCTTTAATATGAGGTGGTCATATACTTAGTTTGTTTTTGTTTTTCAGTTTCAAAAAAAAAAAATATACTTCACATTGTATGATAGTAGGCAAATGTCCTTAGTTAAAGTATCATTATTACCTATCAACAAAATATTTTAACGTGTTTGAGCCAAAGAAAAAAGAATCGGATCTGCACATGAGGAGGTTTGTTGAAAATTTGAAACGTCCCTTATTTAACAATTCAAGCTTGTAGATGAAGTGGTCACATACTTCGATATGGTGTCAAAGCAGACACATATCCTAAGTTTTATTGACATTGATGGGAAGACCCCACTCACAAGGTGTATTAAAAAAGAGAACATCTCAAGCAGAAAATATCAGTTCCTAGAAAGAGTAACCAATAATCAATACCAATAGAAATGCTTTCTCAAAATCAATACTAATAGAAATGTCACACGAGTTCCAAGAATCTGCAAAAATACAAATAAAACAAAATTCCGCTAGTATGTAGTGGAGTGCTTTCAATCCCTTTTCAAATGTTGTACGGTTTCTTTCCTTCCATGTGGTCCATATGAGTGCCAGAGGACCACCTCCCTTGCTCTACTTCTTGTTTACAGTAAATCTGGTTCTGCTTCTTTTTAATTACATCATGTTAGTGCATAGTTCTCTACCCCAACAAAGGTAGGGTAACATCTGCATACATCCCACTCCTCCCTAGACCCCATTTGTGGGATCACAGTGGGTATGTTGTTGTTCTTGTTGTTGCATGTCAGTGCTTAGTTGCCTATGTTGTCCTATTAATTGTATAATATCCTAAATTCTACGCTACGAGCCTTGGTATGTGCTACACTGGTACTTCAGGTGTGTAACTGAGGCTTTGCCAATTCGCTAGCTGCCAAAATCCTCTCCAACTTTTCACCCCTCCAAAATCAATAACTGAATTACAGTTCTTAGGTCTACTGAACTCCAATCTCCCCATCCCTGACTCGGTGAAATTACTATTTTATCGCATTCTTTTAGAGTATACTCTGATAGATTTTGTATCCTAAACTCATTCCTTGTGATAGGGCCACCTGAATGAATCATCTACTTGAGAGTGCATCTGACTTGTTAGCACAAAAAGGAGCACTCCAATCTTATTCATAAAGCTACAAGGGAACTTACAATATTTTACTTCTATTGTCAAAGCTGGTTGGGCACATGCTGAGCTTATAATATACTCCCTCCGTCCCATTTTATGTGAGGTACTTTGACTCGGCACGAAGTTTAAGAAAGAAAGGAAGACTTTTAAAACTTGTGGTTCAAAATGAATGATACAAATTTGTGTGGCTGTAAATCATTTCATTAAGGGAAAAACAGACCTTTTATAGTTAAATTGTTACTTAATATAGAAATGTGTCATTCTTTTTGGGACTGACTAAAAAGGAAAATAAATTGGGACAAAGGGAGTATTTCTTCTTTTTTTTGTCACTTAGCTACTTCCTGTAGCTGGTCCTTTTGGCAGATAAACTGTTATAGATAGGGTTAGGAAGTTGGTTCTATGTGATCAAGCAGCTCATAATTTTATTTTATTTTGAACGGTTGTTCTGCTTTTATTTACCTTGACTTTTGTGATTGGAATGCAGCGGGTCAGACTCCAACCAGATGCTGGCAGGAATTGCATTTGTTTGGCCAGTATTGATGGTAGCTTCGAGTGCATTCCAAGCTGCTGCATCTATTATTAAGGTATTCAATAAACCATGATGTAGGAATAGCAGTCTGGATCCTCAATTAATCATTTCAAGGGCTTTGAATGTGTAGGAGTTCGTTTTTATTGATGCTGCTAGCCGACTCAAGGTGCATCTCTCTTTTACAGAGTTTTTTCTGTTCCTTCACTTAGCTTTGAATAAGGGGTGCATGAAAGATACTCCATCGATCTCGATCTCTTCTCAAATGTTCTGTTGGTAATGTGTAATGCATAATCCTGATAGCTATTCAATTTATACAGGGGAAGGTGCTTGATATCTTTGTCGTCAATTCCTTTGGATCTGGATTCCAGGTAATTGGTATGAGCGCGTGAAATTTTGATACACTAACTTTTGGATCCTAAAACTCTGTACTTCTGGGTTATTTCAGAGTAGAATGCCTACATAGTCCTGAGTTAATTAGCCTTAGTCAAATGCCAATTACTGGTTCTTCTGTTGAAATAGTTGTTTTCACATTTGGCACCATTTATTCAATTCCATAAGTCGAGTGGTATTAAATACCAACTTCTGGCTTTTGTATCGACTTAAATAGTCACACTCAGCACCATTTATTTTGTTCCAACCGTCAACTGGAAGATAAAAATAAACTTTTTGTCGTGAAATCTAGTTCTCGCTGAAGTTTCATTTGCAGCTACGCAGAGCTCATGTCCAACAATTTCTGATAGAGAGAGGAAATGTTCAAGAGATTGCAGTACCATTTGCAAGATCTCTTTTTATTTTGATTGGTCCCAATATGTTTTTCATGGATTTGCAAGCCACTCAAACCCTTTATGCTCTTCTATTTGCAGTTTATGCTGTTGCTGAAGTGTTATTGCAGAATCAATTGTAGTTTGTTAGCACGACCTTGCACACTATAGACAATGGATGTTTAGTCGAGAATTGTTATTTATATACGTTTAAATTACTTATATATCTGTGTGTATTCCCTCCATTTCAATTTGTTCGTCTTAGTTTGGCTTGACACGGAATTTAAGAAAGTAAAGAAACTTTTGAATTTTGTGGTCTTAAACTACAAATATGTATATGTACCAAAATACCTTTTGTGGTCTTAATTACATGTCAAGTGGAATGTTGAAATTAAAAAGTTGTCAAATTAGAAAAGAAACATTCCCTTTGGAACAGACCAAAAAAGGAAAGTACAATTAGGACAGACAAATTGAAACAGAAGGGAGTATATAAAAAAATTAGGGAATTGCATTTTCAGAGAGTGAATTGATCTGTTTACTGTTCAGCAGCACTGTATTCTGAATGTTGCATTTGTAATGTCTGTTTTATTTGTAGGCTCTGTTTGTTCTCCTTTTTCTGCCTCTTCTTTCAAACTTGAAGGACATACCATTTTCTGAGCTCCCTTCATTTCTTAAGAGCGGTGCTGGTTGCTTCTTCAACATAGGGAACAATGTTTCAGGTGCAATCTCTATTATCTTGAGCTTGTGTGTGGCTTGCATAAAAGGTCAATGTGCATCATTTCAGAATTTGTAAAGTGAGTTGGTGAAGGTCATGATCTTCTACAATTGACATATTTTCTTTTAAATTCTGCATCTTTTATTCACAATTACAACAAGCAATGGCTTCTGCAATCTTGCTGAGGTCGAATTTGATGAGGACCTTGATTTTATTTTTTGGGGGGAGCTGGTGGGAAAACAAGACTTGAACCTAGAATATTTTGGCAGGAAAGTGTTGTTTACAAGTTATAACATGCTCCTGCTTTCCTCAGTCAATCACATGGAGGTTTCAAGGATATGCTTGCGCCCATCGGTAAAAGGGTGGAGATATTTTGGATAATATGAATCTATGTACTTGTTAGTTGTTAGGAGGTTGCTCTACTTACATTATTATACTGTCCATAGAACTTGGGGTACTGGAATAATAAAAACCAAGCATAGAAACTGGTTTTAAAAACTTAATGTTGGTTGCAACTCAATTAGTATGTGTTTCTCAGGATTTGGTCCATAGCTGTACTTTATAAGTGAAATCTCAACAAGAATGAAATCACAATTTTCAGGTAATTTGTCAAATGGGCCATATACTGCTGGTATAATGTTCAATTCATGAGCAAATATTAGTTTCAACAGTTGTGATGTAATCCAAACAAAATTTTCGTTGTCTTATCCCATTATAGATGTGAGGACATGATTATCAAGTTAGAAGTATTTTTCCCAAGGTAATGGATTGATGAGTCTGACTGTCCTTTTGGCACCTTTTATTGGTCAGGTTGTGATGGAGCACCGTTGCTACCCCTTCTTTACATATTTACAAATATTGCTTTCAACATATCAGTTCTCAATCTTATGAAGATTTCATCTGCTGTAATTTCATCCCTTGTTGTGATGTCATCAGGTTCTCTCTCACAGACACTCTGTGACTCTGCACACAGTGCTTAGAGGTGTCGATTACATTTGAATTTTATGTAGTGCTATGACCAACCAGATTCTTTTTCCTCTTTTCTTATGTAGTGCCTTTGTCAGTGTATCTTCTCTCCATGCCGCTGCCATATCTCCCACAAGGTTCAAGTTTGAGCCCTTTCTTCCTTCTTGGCAGTGCTGTCCTTCTCATTGGTCTTATCCTGTATAACATTCCACGGACTCAGAAGCAAGACACAGAATTGTGACTCATTTGAATCATTGCAACTGATGTTCTTCTATGGAGATTCTGGATATATAATAGTCATGATCTCAGAAAGGTATGGGGTCCAGAAGAGTCTATAATCTCCATCTACTAAGATCCATTCTTCCCTGGTCATACGGTATGGCCTACCGCTAAATGGATCTGACAGTATCATGGTAACGTGACTAATCCTTCCACTGTCTGTCATCATAGACGAGCAACGCGATTGCCGGAGGTACTTGCAATGTTAAGACCATCTTAGCGTAACAAGTGGATTTTACAATACCGAAGTGCGCTTGCTATGACATGTCTTAGGTGGGTTAAAGAAATTATATTTTGGTGTATATGTTACTGAGGTTTGCATGCACAAAAACAGTTGGTCGATTCTTTTGGTAGACAGAAGATACAGAAATAAAACTTCTACATAGTCATATTTTGATTGCGATAAAGCCTTTAGGCTTATCAAATAGTGAAATAAGTTTGTGTAATTACAGTTCTATTCTATTCTTTCAGTGAATGTTTCACCAGACGAAGCAAGTTATGTAAAGCAAACATCTGCATCCTGCATGGTAAACATTGAACAGTTTGAATTTTCTACGGAATGGTAAGAAAGTCCATTTTTCATAATATCATGTTTCAAGCACCCAAGATTTATGGGTTCTAAATTTGTCACTTGACTCATAGTTGGTTGTAGTTACTGAATCTGCAATTAAATACTTGTACATTTTATTGAATTTCTTGTTTAAGCAAAAGCTTTTGGGTTCGGTCGAAACCATAAATATTATTGTAGCTCCACCCACGCGATGAACATTGAACAACAGTTCACTTAGCATTTTAACTTAAGTGTGAGCATACCAATCAGGAATTTTTGGCTTTACACCAAATTAATGTATGCTAGAAAAGAATCCTCAATTCTCTTTTCTTGATTCATGGATAATACGCCAGTATGCATTAGTTATGTTGGATTTATTTCATATCATGTTCAATTTGTTGTATTGAATTTATATGGTATACTAGAATAAGAAAAGTACCCCACATTGTTAATGTTATGGTTTACTATGTATAAAAATGGTGTTTATCAGTGGTGATATACAATCAGTATAGTGCTCACTCTATTTCACTTTGTTCGTCTTATTTTTCTTTTTAGTCCGTTAAAAAAAGAGACAATATCTCAGATGGTCACTCAACTATGGGTTCTTTTCTCATTAAGTAACTCAATTTTGGTTTTTAACTCGGAAGTCACTCAACTATAAGTTTTTTTTTCTTCAGAAAGTCACTCAACTATAATTCTAATTTCTCATGTAACATGTTTAAGACCACAAGATTACAAACATTTTGCTCACAAAATTCAAAAATCGTCCCTAATCTTTCTTAAACTTCGTGCCCAATCAAAACCTGAAAAAAGAGGGAGTTAAAACGCATAACTAATGCATGTTTTAATTATGTATTGGTTAAAAACATAATCAAACAAGGGAATACCTCCTACCAAACGATGCGTCTTGTTAAATTAAAGTACATAGCTAAATACATGTATTAATTATGCATTGATTAAAAACACAATCAAACAAGGGAATACCTCCTCCCAAATGATGCGTCTTGTTAAGTTTAGTCTATAGGTTTGAGATGTTTTATGAAAGAATATAGATTACAGATTGCCATTAAGAACCTCGAATGCTAACATGATTAATGATTATGACCAAAGATACAGAACCTTGATAACATCCATCTGGACATATTGATATTCGTTCATACTTTACCTTTGCTATTTCTACATCTCCAAGCATTTTTCTCAAACCAACCAAATTACTTTGGGAAACTGGTTCTTGAATTGAATTTAAGCAGTAACGGATTTTATTTTTATTTTTTTGTACTGTTTTCAGTAAACCAAAACACCACCTGTAATTGTACGTGCACAGAAAACACTAGTATCTTCAAATTACCACTGAGAATCATCGCGGGAAGAAAATGATTCAGACCTTGATAATGCACAGAACTAAGATATTGAATCTCATTGTAATGGAGCTAAGTCTCACTTCTGTAAAAGAAAGAAATTCATGACATGACATCTATCACTAAACTGAGTTTTCCACATCATTAACAGCTTACACCACAGTTGAAGCCCAAAATTGGTGCTCGCCACTGAAAATATATGCTCAAACAGTCCAAAAAGAGCTGGTTACCCTTTCAATGATCCATCTAGGCTTCAGTCATCACTGTTGACAACAATAATGAATACGGTGCAAAATTTTAGAGCGATAAAAGCCCCAAAAATTAATATCATGACAAAGTTGTACATGTTTTTTTGAGATAAGTTAGACATGCTACATGAGACCAAGGAACCTCTAACCATTCCAACCTTAAAGCCTCTCAATTGCTGTACACACACCAGCAGTCATATCAATTCCTCCTCTGCAATACCACATATATTAACAGTTATTTTCAGCAAGTTTCCCCACACAAAATAAAACTCATGTCCATGTACAAAAGATATAGATCAAAAGATAAACCACTACTACAAATAAGCTTCATTTTAATCGTGACTAAGATTGTGTTGTTCATTATACACGCTATACTCGGGAGAAGCAGAGGGTTGTGAAGCATTGGAAATAACCACATAACTCACAAGTCACAAGCCAACAATTTCCTTCCAATTAAACTGAGCTGAGCAACAAACAAGATAATAAGTGTCCATACCAGAATATCAACATTTTATGCATTAACTAGATAGTTTATCACCTAAACGGGGGAATGCACAAGATTTATATATGTCTAGGACAACTACTACATCATAGCTAATGCAAGATTTCATATATAATACTCAAAAGCAAAAGCGTACTTCAGATTTTGAAAGAAAGCAAATCGAGGATTCATGCAATCTCCCTAAACAATTACCTTACGCTTCTTCTGTTGTTTGATTCCAGTGCCACCATTCTCAAAGTTTTCTGATTGTTCAGAAACAGGTTCCCCTAAAGGCAAATTTTTTATCTCATCATAAAAACTATCTGTCAGCCCAAGCAACCTAGCACAATCAAAGAAAGGAGATTAGCCTCCAGTTAGTCCATTTTAAAAAAGAAATCAGAGCTCCACCTAATCTTCCAGTACTTTCCAAACTATAGATTAAGTTCATATCTGAAATGATCAAAAGACTGACCATCAATTGACTCTTTTTATAGTTAGTAAGATCGACCACACAGTTCCTACTGAACTTACCCATTTCTTGACTTCTTCAGATGTTTCATTTTCTTTTCTCCAATTTTGTAAGTGGGGCACGATCAAACGCCTCTTCTTCTCTTTTTGCACGTTCTTTCATTTTAGCCATGTAGTTTGTAAGTTCTCTACTTTCAGATCCAACAACTTCTCTTACCTGTAATTTTCACCGTGATCAATAGTCAATACAGGATGGCTCAGTGAAGTTAGTATAAATAGTCAGATAGAGAACTACCTCTTCGGGTCTTCCTTCAAGATCATTCAACAAATCTATCATATACGGGCTTTGTTTAGCATTTCGCAATCTCTCTTTTTCCCTCCTCAATTCATTTCTCTCCTGCTTTGACATCTTCTCCTCGCCCATAGAAGTAGGTGCAAATTTGGGGGGTCGATATACATTAGCACCATCCTGTAGGTCAAGACAAAAAACCTTCAACTACCTCTTTACTTCAAGAAATCATATGGGAGACTGAGTGAATTAAATCATAACTTCAACTTTTAAAATTGCTAAAGATCGAGCCAACTCTTTTAGAACAGGAGGAGAAAGGAACAAAAATGGTCATTTCATTGTCATGTACCAAACACCAACCTCTGCAGTGTTACTTGTTTTGTGAACAAGCATATCAGGTTTTGGACGATACTTCAATAGGTCCTCCTTCTGAGTATCTGTTCCCTTCTCACTTATAACTGACTTCTCAGAAGCTGTGTCGCTATCTCTTGTGAGCTTCTGAATTTGATACTGTAGTTTCTTGTCAATGGGGCGAATCTGCACAGAGCATGACAGTAAGAATACTGCAATTAAGGGCAGAAAATCACCCAAGAGGAGCTGGAGAGACAGCTTTAACATACCTTCTCCAAAAACAATCTCATCTCCACCAGACTCCGAACTACTGGATGCCCTTCAATTGAGAGTCCTTTTGCCTTGCGGAGCAAATAATAGACAAGTGATTGACAATAATTCAGAAGTAGCAGATGCTTCGTTTCAAGGTAACTTATTCCATCTGCTGTTGGAAAGTGATCTGCTTTCACCTGCAGACAAATTGCATGGGAATTTGGAAGAAGAAACAGGCATGTCAAGTTGATATAGTGCTATTTTCATTCTTTCCTACACAGATGACACGTAAAAAATCCAAGGCACATTCAACTGAAATGAATCCAGCAGTTAACTATTTTCTGTGACCGAGTTGCAGGAGTGCCCTGCTAAAGGCATTAATTTTATGGATTACTAACATGGGGGGGGGGGGGGGGGGGCCACAATGAGATCTATCCTTTAAAGACGAGCATGTATTTCAATATAGCATAGACTTGGACTTTCTCATACTGGCCGTTTGGGATGATTAGATATCAACGAAAAGTAACATGAACCCAACCCCAACATGGATAGTTGGATACTAAGTGGGAAGATCATGTATTATTGATCCTAACATCTGTCATGTGGAAAACCAAAATAGTTGGAGGATCTAACATATTAGTTCAAACTTAATTGCTTAAATGGGAGAATATTGGATTACAGGCACCCAAAAGACTATTGTTTTAAAAAATGTTTTACAAAATGAAACCATTTACTAAATATTTCTTCAATGTTCGATTGTACATAAGGTAAAATGTAACCTCATAATTTCTCAAAGTAAGAACTTGAACCTCATAGAGGTGATGGGTAGCAGCATGGGAATGACAGCCCGGGGTGATTATGGGTAGCAAATATATATTAAAGTTTCTCTTCTTTATTTTGTTAGTAGGAAAAAACGTTAAGATATTGATAGAAGAAAGTGATCGATCAATCAATCAACTATGCCTTAAGCCCTTAATCCTAAGCTAGTTATAGTCGGTTATATGAATCCTCTGCATCCATTCCATGCTTCAAGTCCATTTAAATCAACTAATAAATAAGGTAAACTAACTAAAAGATCTCTAATTTCACACTTTTACAAATGATATACATGTCTCTTTAGCAAGAATATAAAGAATCTAGATAAACACTAAACCAAATGAAAGTGTATCAGTTGATTTAGAAGATAGTAGTAAGAAGGTGTTTCAAATACAACGGGAATCATATTTTGCAGATAAAAGTTGATAGTCTACGACAGATTATCTTTTGGTGCAATTTAGAGCTAGTAAATGATGTTGAGACATTGGAAGACTTTATTAGTTCCCTGCACTTTCTGGATTACAACACCAATTTACTGCTGGTTTCATCAATAAAACTTACCTTTTGCTTAAAGAGTGTACCAGTATTTATTGGCAATAACTAATTAAACATGACTATTTGGTATCCAATATAGATTTCTTTTTTGTGTGGGGGGGCTAATAATGGTGTCCGGCCAACTTTCCGGCACCTCCAGTGCTGCACCAAGTTTTTTCCACCAGCACATGCATTGGGTAACTCTGTCGCTGATAATTGATGGGGAAAGGTTTCACCACATCCCAAAAACACAACGTATATCCTTAAAAAAAAATTCTAACTATATAAATTGTTATTCTTCTAATTTACCGAGTATCAATATTTAATAATCAACTATATCCATGAACAATCATAGAATTAAAAAATAAAAAACTGACCTTTGCAGTTAAAGCTTGTACTTTTAAGCTCACTGTATCCAATCCTGCTTTCATCTCCTTCAATACCGTAACTAGTTGCGGAGCTTGCCTGCATATTCATTCACATCCAAAAATATCAATATTATTATGTATGTTCCGTGATTTTCAGAACCTAAAAGACCAAAAAACAAAGAACTTGCCTGCTTATTCTTTGACTCGTTTCGAGAGATGCCATATTTCACTACTGATATCGCTGAGAGTGAAGAAGATACTCCCGTTGCTGTCAATGGCGGCTTCCTCCCTGTGGTTTGATTTATGGGACCCTTGATTTATTTATTTTCCAAAAAAATAGAAGGAAAAAAAAGGAGTGGGTTATGATTTGGGGTTTATATGGATATGCAAAGGTTCATCTTTGAACCTTGAGACTTGAGAGCAAGGGCGAGCTACCATGTGGTCATCGGTTTATTCTAATTTTTGACAAAAAATATAGAGATAAAGTGTAAAAATTCACCTATATTATTTCATTTTTTTTAGTTTCATATCTGAATTATTGAGAGAATAGATTTTATATCTAAACTATCACTTATTAGTTTGAAAAACGCACCTTAGTAGTGTGTCATGCTATGGTGTGTCATGCACTTTTTTTTTTTGAAAAAATCTTGACACACGACATTCCACATAGATAAATTATTTCACCTTGACAAAATTAAATAATTCACTATTAATATTAATTAAAAATTAAATATTAAAGTTTATCCCAAGAAAATATTTTTTTTTAAATAAAATTTTTAATTATTTTTCTTACTCCACTCCACCACCTCCTCCCGTACCTCCCCCCTCGGACAATACCCCATCCTTTTATTTTCTTAAAAAAAATTCTTTTATAAAATATTTTTAAAAATTCATACTTCACCCTCCACCCCCCCCCCCCAAAAAAACCACCCCCTCCTCACAAATGTTTCATAACCTATCAACCACCCACTCGTTCCCCAAAAAAATTGATATTATTTTATTTTAACCATCTTATTTAACCCTCCGCTCATAGTTTATTTATTTATTTTACATTTATGTTAGATTTTTAGGAATTTTTTCTACTTGTGTACCGAATATAACATAAATAAAAAAATTATTATAAAAAAAGTCATGTGGCGGCAAGTAAAAAATACTATATATATATATATATAAAACGAGAAAAAAATTTGGAAGCGGAAGATTAGGTCAAGTGGGTAGAATTATTTTATTAAAAAAAAAAAAAATCTAAATTAGTATTTGAGAGGGGTGGGGGGGAGTAAATAAAAATTAAATACTTTTATAAAAGAAATTTAAACAAAAAAAAACTAAAATCATGGGCGAGGTGGGGTGGGGGTGGGAGGTACGGTGAGAGGAAGTGATCGAGTGGGGTAATAAAAATATTTTACATTTTATTTTATAAAAAAATATTATTTTTTTGGGATTAATAATGTTTTAATCTTTAATTTTAACGAATGCTAATAATTTATTGAATTTTGTTAAGGTGGAAATGTGACAAAAAAAAATTAAATAAAAGAGAGAGTGTATTACACATCATGATGAGAGTGTTATAAAAGAAAGAGGTGTGTTTCTCAAACTAGTAAGTGATAGTTTAGGTATGAAACTCACACTCTTAATAGTTCAGTTATGAAACTCGAAAAAAAGGAATAGTTTAGGTATATTTTTAATACTTATTTCAAAATTATATAATAATTTTTATATATGATTAAAATAATTTATATATATAGAGAGAGAGTAGATGTCGAATTCTTCGACTGATTATGTGTCTATTTCTTCAAATTTTATACTCCTTAATAAAAATCATAACTTTGTCGCTTGAAAGAATACCTAATATCTACCATTTCATATTAGTGACATAATTTGTATTAAACTTATTATTTTTAGCACACTATAGGTAATAAGATATGGTAAATTTAATATATACTCTAGCAATAAATAAATATATAATACTATTATTTTAATTTTTCATCAGTCAAATTAAGCTCAATATTAATACTCCAATATATTTATTGTTTATGAATTTTGTATTATGCCCATTGAGATTCAAAGGTGAAAATCTTATTACTATCCATGTTTGAATGAATAACTTCCTCATCGATGTTGGAAATATATGCGATTTCAAGTTGTTTGTCAATTGAATATAACTTCATCTTTCATCGAGTATATTATTCTTCTTTTTTAATCTTGTGAACATGATATGTAATATCAATTAAGTTTATTTTGATTTAATAAACATGATTTGAGTTGAAAGTAGTAAATTTTGATGTCAATTTTTCAAAAACTAGACAAGTTTCTTGCTCCAGTGTCTTGTCTCGTTATCCAAATAATTACAAGCAGCTTCTAATTATGTCTCAAAACTCAAAAGTAATAAATTCAAACATGAAAAACTTTGGCCAAGAATTCTTCGTTTGGTAATAATGCAAAATTCTATATTGAAGTTATTTAACAAACTTTGATATTATTTCAACTTTTATAAAACTATAAATATATTTGTAAAATGATATATAGAAATATTTAGGGCCTTAAATTTTGTTAGTATTTTTATTTTGTGAGCGATGAATAAATAAAATTGATATTTATGAAAATATTTTATTACATTATTTTACAATCACGAGTCATTAACGTGTTTCTTTACTTATTCTTATTTGTTTTATCTTGGTGAGTGAAACTAACAAAGATATTATTTCAGTAAAATTATGATTCAAAAGGTTTATATGCAATTAGATGCAATAAGACATTTGGATTAACATATATTTCAATTTTAGATACTAACCCGAGATAGATTTCTTTAATTTTGTAAAAAATAATTATTTTTTATTTTATAAACCATAGGATTCATTTAAAATCGAGATATTTTGAGACTATAACCATGATTACAATCGGGACTGTTCAACTATCTATATGAGATATATAATACAATAATTGTGGTATAAAGTTATCTTAGTTACAATTAATATCTTCAACCAAATACATAATAAAGCTAATTCCAACATGTATAAACTAAAATAAGATCAAATAGTCTTACCTCTTAAGGGTTGGTCAATTACAGTTAAACTTCATTGTCACTAACAAAAATTCGTTATAACAATATTTCGTTATAACAATTCATCGGACCAAATGGTCTCAACTCCAAGCAGTGGCGGAGCTAGAAATTTCACGAAGGGTGTCCAAGAATTATATAAGAAAAAAAAGTTGATGAATGGGTGCACAGAAAAATTCAAAATCGAACTACGCATTATTAATATTTTTTTAGGGATAATTTCAGAGACATTCCCTCAGGTTTGGCTTAATAACATTAATCTCCCTTGTGGTTTAGGATATTACATTCACCTCCCTTTTTCTGATATTTTTGTAACGAAACTAGTTTAAATGATAAATTATCCGTAATATCCCGAAACTATCCTTATTTGTCATCTTTTATTATATTCTACTTTTAAAATATAAATCTCCTCTCAAAGATTTTAAAACGGAAGAAAATTTCAAGCAACAATCATCTTTGTGTGTAGCAAATCAATGTAATTCCTGCATAAAACATTATTATTTTTTTCCTTTAAACTTTTGCAAATAAGAAATAATGATTAAAATATAAATTTCATGTCCTCAAATTGGTTCATAAGCTATTGTAACTTTTCCAAACACAAAATTAACGTAAACTCCACCTCAAAATTTAAGGGTTTGATTGTTATTCTATTTTTTAATTTTTATTTTGGAAATATATGTTCACTTAAAGTTTAAAGGGTAAAATTTGTTACTTCAACTGCTGCAATCTGCAGATATGGCCTAACTAACAAATACACATGCCAGGGAGTTTGATATTATATGTTAGTATCAAGTAATCACTTATCATTCCTTATAATCATCTTTCAGTTTGAAATAAAATTGAGAAGTGTTTATATTTAAGAACCTAAATTTCTAATAAAATGCGGATAATAAGGGTAGTTATGGGAAACTATGGAGAATATATCATTTAAAATAGTTTCGTTACAAAAATATCACAATAAGGGAGATGAATGTAATATCTCAAACCACAAGGGAGGTTATTGTTATGTAGTCGAACTTGAGGGGAGGTCTCTGAAATTATCCCTTTTTTTTAATGAATAAATGTTCCAAAATTTTAAAAATCAAATCGCATGATATGTAGCTTTAATATTTGTTTTTAATTTAATATGAAGTAAATGAACAAAGTAAAAAAAAAAAGGAGAGGGGGAGGGGGGGGGGTCAACTTAAAATGAAATCATTTTTACGTTTTAAACTTAAACTAGTCCTTGGTGACGACGACAATGTAGAGACACGAAGAATGGAAGCAGAATCAAACGAGGTCTTCTTTTGTTCGTTTTTAACAACGTTGTACAAATATTAGAATTTGTTTATTAACTTTAAATTAAATAATTACATTTAAGTTTTATTTCAAACTTTGATGAAAATAAATAAAAAATCAAATTCATTGAAAATTCAATTAGCTTTATTAGATTTTTAATTTATTCATTTCTAAGAAATTTACTAACTATTATTTAGAAAGTCCTTTAAAAACCTTAGACAATTTTTGGAATAATTAAATATGAGCTCTTTAAAAATAATTATAAAGATGAGTGGCTGCATGGATTTTAACTTGCGCATCTGGGCTTCATGAGAGAGCCTCCGGCCACTGAGCCACAATAACTTATTGTGTTAAGGGTGTCCAAAGTATTAAATTTAACATTTTATTTAGGTGTACAATATAATTTTACGACGAAGGGTGTCCAATACGGTAGCTCCGCCCCAGACTCCAAGGGTTAGTCAATTATAGTTAAACTTCGTTGTCACCAACAACCATTCGTTATAACAATTTAATATTCTCTAAAACTATTTTTCTTTTCATGTTATATGTAGCGCTACTTTCAGAAAAATAAAAAAATAAATAGAAAGTAGAATTCCTGAACCTGACAGAAAGTAATTCTCTATTTTCTGTAGGCAAGTCTTCAAAAGTAAAACAAAATTGTCCAATTGATGATTCTCCTCCATAATAACAACCTACTTATAGTAATAGTGACATTCATTATAGTAGTGCATTTTTTTATAAAACTCGTTTACATAACAATTATATATACTCAAACTGTTGTGTAAGAATTTATCATGTATATAAAAAAATATAAAAATATTTATGGTAATCATTAATAATATCACAAACATATAAATTTCAAATATTTAATGATGGTAATTTATTATGGTCATAACTTCACAAAGGAAAAGGAAAAGGAAAAGACTATTGATATTTACCTTATTTATATTCAC